TGATCATTTATGGAATGAATGCTGCTCTAGGAGTTGGAACCTGCTAAAACCTAGCTGTGTCATGTAACCTAAAAGGTTCTCTGTTTACTTATTTGTCAAATGAGACATTTGGATTAGATTATTTCTTTATGATACTTCTGGGTAAATGGGAAGGAAGCCAATGTGAATTAGACAAAGTCTAAATCAAACAGTACTTTAAAAGAAATATCATTTCCTAACATTCAGGTAAGACGAAAGTATCTCCAGGTTATCCTTGCCATTTTGTTCAAGACTGCAGAAGCCTGCCTTATAAATTAGAAGAAACAGTAGGGAATCCTAAGAGTATTGTGGTGTTTGGGTTGATTTACTAGTATCCTCTTTGAGGTCCTGAGCCTTACAGTGTACTAAGTCCAGCATGTTTAGAGCTAAAGTGGTTTGATTTGTTTTTATCATTAAATCAAAGTTGCTGAAATCAATTCCATGCTTTGTTTCATTTTTTAGATATGTTTTAAAAACTGTTAATTATCCCTGTTGAACAGAACGGCTGGGGCTGGAGTAACTTTTTGCTCTCTTTTTGAGAATGAGCTAAGATGGATATTGGATTATTTTCATCCAATTACTGGATTATTGTTTGAGGCCTATCAGGTTTTAAGGCATAACTGAATGATCACATAAAGCAATTAGCCCATATTTTTAAAATGAAACAAACAGTAACTATAAAAACTTGTTAGAGGCCTTTGAAATTCCCCTTTCAGGGACATATTCTAACTTAGAAGACTTAGCTATGAGAAGAACCATTAAATCTTTCTGGAGCACCTGGATTTGCTTATGTTCTGATCATGCTAGTGTCCTATTCAGGAGAGGGAAGCCTAGGTGTGTAGCCTTATTCACCACGCAGGAAGGAGATGGGGTTTTCTGCCTGGGAGCCTGGGGAGGGGTCAAGGGTGAGGAAGCCTGTGCCAGGAAGTCAGTTCATGGAAGCAAAGTTTCAAATATGGAGGTGAGGTCAGATTCATCCAAGGGTTCAGAAAGTACTAGGCAATGAGGATGACTCAGAACCTCAGAAAACTGAAAAGCGAAATGAGAGGCTGGTGTTTTTCAGTACCGACCAAGAACAAATTTAAATTAGAGAGATTTAGGGCTATGCAGTTGTCTGTATTCTCTGCCCTCAGCCTCTATCACTCCCATCCCCCTGGCCAGAGGTGACACCCTCAAGGGCCTCCTAAGAGCCTTGGTATTAGGTCCTAGAGTCATTGTCTAAGTTTGAGGATCCATCTGAGCCAGGAAATTAGTGATCAGGAGAGCCAAGAGGTCTGCTTAGTGAGTAGACAACCCGCCTCTACTGAGCATAAATTGCCCCAATGGATGCTGTTCAAACAGCATCCCCAAATCCCACTGTACAGTTCTATTCTCCCAGGATGGCCCAACAATTTCCCTGAGTATTGCTTATATATCATAAGACTAGCAAACTGATAGTTCAGAAACAAACTTTATCCTGTCCCCTTCTGTAAGACTATATAATTCCAAATTAAAGTGGAACTATATTTTTCCCTCTATTTATAAAATAGGTCTGATCAAATGTTCTCATAGTTTTCTCTGTTTCTTTTTTAATATGACACTTTCTTCATATCATAGCTTTTGCACTTGTTTGATAACATGGTATAATCATAGCAATTCCTGTACTTCTTATTTCAGGGATTAATGTGAAATTAATGTTATTTTTAACATTAAAGCAAATTTGCTATGTATTTTTGTTTGATCTTGAGTTTAAAATGAAGCTTGTACTTATGCAGTCGCAAGATGAATGCCTAGATTTTAGTAAAACTAATAGTAAAAAAAACTAATTAAGAGATAAATAGATGGGGATTTAATCTCTTCAATTTAAAATCCCTTAGCTTGTATCCCTCATTAGAAGAGCTTCAAAAAACAAGCTGTAAACATTCTCAATAATTAAACACGAATATATGATCTATGATAAAGCTTGGCCCTTAGGCCATCTATGCTTAAATACTGTATACAAAATTACATTTGTACTTGATTCCCTCTTGTTATTTTATGAGCTCCTCCCTCCAGTGAAATGCATTTCTGTGTATAATCGTCTTGTTCCTATACCTCCACCATGGAGCATGTTAAAAAACAATTCTTCCCATTACCTGTGAAGTATTAACTGATAACCCACAGGGAGCTGACTCTATAATATGCCCTTAGCAATTAATAATGCTGTTGACTTGGTTTATGAGGATTAAATTCTTCATCAAAATCTTTTTACATTATGTCACTGCAAGTTAAGACTTAAAGAGATGTTAGAGCACCTACAGAACAGTAATAAAGAAAACAGAATTATTCTATTTATAAACCAAATAATCATCTCAATTTAATCCCTGTATTTCCCATATTCAATAAGGACAGTTTACTCTTAAGCCCCATCATTTTTGAACATGGAAGAGTATTCATGAACACCTAAAACGGTCTAAATTAAGCTGCAGTTCTTTGAGGCAGGAAAAAAAAACTGGTTTGGGAATCAGAAAATGTGGGTCTTAGTTCTACTTTTGCCACTAACTAGGACTGTTAGTTAGATTTGGCAAGGTGCGTCACCTCTCTAGAATTGTTTCTCTAAATTCTGAAATGAGTGCTTGGAATAGTGGAGGGTTAAGATTTCTTTTAGTTATAAAACTTCATTAGGATCCTATGTTTGTTTAGAAAGTACAAAGATAACAGCTGGTCTATTTTGATGTATGCAAGAAATAAAAACAAAAAGAAAATATGATTTGCAATATTCAGGTAAATAATGTGTAATCCTCCCCCACCCCCAAGCCTTTTAGTGCCTTTGGTATATGAAATTCTGATTACTTAAGACAGTTGCAGTTTGTGATTAGAACAGTTATCTGGGGGCCGGCCCAGTGGCGCGCTGCTACAGTGCGCCGCTTGGGAGCGCGGCGGCATTCCCGCCGAGGGTTCGGATCCCACATGCAGACCGGTTCCCACTCACTGGCTGAGTGAGGGGCGGACGCAGCACCAAGGGTTGCGATCCCGTTGCCGGTCCCGGTCTGGTGCTGGCGCGACACTGAGGGTTGCGGTCCGTTGCCGGACACAAAAAAAAAGACAAAAAAAAAAAAAAAAAGAACAGTTATCTGCTGGAGGGGTGAGCAGATACAGACAAGACAGAGGGACTTGTCTCGTCTCATGCATGTTAAAAACAGGAGCTGGTGACTGGTGCAAAGCAGGAATTTTTATCACTACTCACTTGGGATGTCTTTGAACTAAATGACTAATTAGTCATTTAGGTAACATTTTTTGTTATTCTTTGTGTTAGTAGTGGAACTAACCATAATTAAAATGTTCTACATCAGAAGTGTTATTATAGCAGGATTTTATACAGCAACATCCTCAAACACAATAGTTCTGACTCAAACCAAATACTTCATAATTCTTCCCTCTCCTTTCTATCTTCTCTCTAAACAGAAAGAGGTGGTGGTTATTTTAGTGTGTGGGTCATGGTCTACTGATATCCTTAGTGGCTGGCTTTCAATCATCTTCAAGAATTCTTCCTTCCTTTTATTTGATTTTTATTTAAGAAGGAGTTCATTGGAAACAAGCCTAGCTTTCACAGGTTTTCTTCTTCTCTTTAGCAAGTTCCTTACCTCCTTCAGGTCGTGCTGCTAAGTGAGCAGGGTGCTTGTAAAGGGAGATGACTGAAAGGTGACTGAAGCCAGATGTTAAGTTTGAGGGTTTTCTCACTTTGCTAGTTTCACAGTTTAGGATCTTAGAAGACACCAGGCAGTACTAGAATCCTCCTCTAGGAACAAAGTGACTTAATGTATAGTCTTTTTTTTTTTTCCTTTTTGTCTTTTTGCATGACCGGCAACGGATCGCAACCCTCAGTGTCGCCCCCGTACCGGACCGGGGACCGGCAACGGATCGCAACCCTCGGTGTTGCTCCCCGCACCTCGCTCAGCCAGTGAGCGGGAACCGGTCTGTATGTGGGATCCGAACCCTCGGCGGGAGCGCCGCCGCGCTTCCCAAGCGGCACACTGTAGCAGTGCGCCACCGGGCCGGCCCCTTTAATGTATAGTCTTGAACTTACTAAGGGGGAAGGGAGAGGCATTTGGGAGTATGTATACAGGGGTGTGATGGTGTGTGTACATGATAGAAATGAGCAGAATTAGGTGCTAACCAGCCTTCCTTAACCATTTGCCATCTTGGCTAATGGAAGCTGGCTTGCACTCTGTCCAGAAAAAGACATAGTTTTATAAATAAAATATATATTTAGTTGACAATGAAGATACAATTTCAAGTGAGAAAAAAGGGAGAGGGGACTTGAGAAAGCTGAGAATAGTAAAGTACTTTTAACTTTTCAGGAAAATAGTTTTTCCTGTGAAGGGAATTATATAAATGTGAATAGTGGTGATGTTATACTCCTCCCACAGCATATTCTATGTCATAGTGAAATATGTGTCTGAGAGCTGTCCAATGAGTAACTTATTTTTTAAAAAGCTATCATCCATAGAAAGAAAACAGGTACTGGTAAAATGCTGCCCTCTCAACTATATTGATTCCATATAGAATTGAATATTTTACAACCTAAAGTGAAATACAAGGATATAATTCAGAAATCACTCAACAGATGTGAAAGTTTCAATATTATAAATTGTTATTTTCAAGCAAAGGCCATTTAATAAAATCTAAGCTCGGTAAATAGTTGGCGCTGGACTTCACATCTCATGCCACCATGTACAGGCTGAAGGCGCAGTACGTTCTGTGCGATCTGTCATTTCACTTTTAACAAAGTGCTAAAGCATAATGGAATTACACTTTTTCATACAATATTTAATGTAACTATATTAAACATTTAGTCACCTTTAATATAACTATTTAAGGGCCCAGTAGACGAAACTGTGTTTCACTGAAACAAGGGTAAGTGGAGATGGAGACATGGTGCCTGTGCTCTGAAGTCCCTGGCAGGCACTTGATCCCCATAATAAAGACGGCCAGAGGCCTCTGGCCTGATTAAAAATAAGGAGTCATGTAAGAAATGGCTTTATTAGAAAAAAATGTAGTGTACATGTGGCTAATTTCTATCATCAACATACCTCTTAGCTATTTTATAATTAAAATCTGACACATGGTTTAAACCTCTTTAAAAGTTAGTGGCATATCTTCCTATTCTGACATCTGACTTAGGGAAGGAGTTATCTTCATGTGATAGATGCCCCCTTTCTTTCTTTTCATAATTACAGGTAATCAGTAGTTTAGCACTGGCACAAAACAAAGAGGAAATTACTTAGGTAGTGCTTTACGTGTAAGACATCACACTTCCAAAGCCAGAATCAGGCACAGCTATGCCACTTGTAGAGTTTTAAAATCCCCTATTACCACTCAAGTCCTGCATTATTATTACCTAGTAGTATTTAAATTCATGTGGTAATCTGTAACCTAACAAAACCTCTGAATGAAGTTTCTTTCTTCTCCTTTTTTCCTGTTAGATGTGCAATTCCAAGCAAATGTGCAGTGTGCAGTATTGATTTCCAGTCTCCTTTTAAACTCCTTCAAGTCTGTGCTATTAAACTGAGACAACCACATCAAGATAGAGTCTGTCATAGGATTCTCTGAAGCACAGAATGAGGAGGAGACTGAGCAAACACGACCCGGGAAGGCACCAGTTAAACCAAGACAACTCTGTAAGACAAAAACATGCAGTTTTAAACATTCATGTATCACCAGAAGAACACCACCTGTATGCTGGAAGGAGTCTGCTCTGCATTCAAAAGCATTTATAATAAATGCGCCCTGGAAAGCCTAGAAACTGGCTTTCCATAAACAGTGACAATCTGGAGACTAAGTGATGTGTGTAATATATTACAGAGCTTTCATGTGGAACATTTTTAATCAATATTGTTAATAACTTTTCATGAATTTAATCTACCCTGACTTTAGTTGCAAAATAAATCTATTACTACAAAGAAAAAAAAAACCAATCACTTTAAATGTTACTTTGTTAATTATGTTTTAAGTGCCCTTTATCACCATGACACTTGTCTTTGTTTAGAAATACCTGATAGATTAAAAAGACAAATAAAAATCACCTGAATTTTGAGAAAACACTTTTATATTTCTTGGAACATATTTCTCAGCAAAAATATTAAGTAGCAATCACTGTAAAACAGATTAGAAAATATACAGAAAAGTAAAGTAAAACATAAAAAAATTAATCATAATTCTACCCCGAGAGACCACTGTGAATACTTCGGTTTATTTCTTTTTAATCTTTTTTTGCTATCAGCATGAATGGTTATTTATGATGCCAATTATTGGAAAACCTATAGGAATCATCTAAATAGGCAATTCTGTTATTTGATTTAATGGTATCAAGAACATGCTTCTTCAAAAATGCTCTCATGAATTCAGTACTCTCCAACAGGACAATGTTGGGACACTGTCTACTAACACACACCACACAACTGTGGCTCCTCCAACTGCCTCCTGGAGCTGCAGGGACGCTTGAGTTGTGCATCTGTTCAGCCCCTTTCTACCCCAGAACAGTCAATCCCAAGGCTTTGAAGCAAGCAGCTCCTGGGTATAAAGAGGCTGTGAGTGGTAGTGGTGGTGGTGGTGGGAGGGGAACAACTTTTCCAGTTTAATATTCATCTAGCAGTTTCGGTTAAAAAAACAAAAACAAACAAACCAAAAAAAGGGGGGGGGCAGCCCAGTGGCGCACTGGAGAGTGCGCCGCTTGGGAGCGCGCGGCGCTCCCACGGAGGGTTCGGATCCCATGTGGAGACCGGTTCCCGCTCACTGGTTGAGCGCGGTGCGGGTGCAACACCGAGGGTTACGATCCCGTTGCCAGTCCCCGGTGGTGCGGGTGCGACACCGAGGGTTGCGATCCCGTTACCGGTCAGTAAAAAGGAAAAAACAAACAAACAAACAAAAACAAAAACAAAAAAACAAGCAAATGAAGGAAACAAGTTCCCTAGCACCTTTTTTTGGGTCACTGTTATAGGTTTATATTTTCCCTTTGTACTTCTACAGAATGCTAATACTGCCGTAATCTTAAAAAATCATCCTAAAGATTTCCACACCGCTACTTTAGTTTAATCCATAATTCATATGGCTGAGAGAGCAATTTATGCTCAGGAAATCAGAAAACCGACTGGTAAGAAAAGATATTGCAATACCCTTTTCTGTAATATGCTCATCAAAGCAGCCTCCCCACCTCTCAATTACTACATTTTAAAAATCAGACATGTTATTCTATAGCACATAACCAAAATGTATATTTCAATGGTATTTTATGCAAAGCTGTTTTCTGTGCTTTACTTGGATTGAATATAATGTAAATACTCAGAAAAGCTGTGACCTCTGAGATCCTGTCTTTATTCTGATATTCCCTGAAATGACACGTCAGGCATTTTCTGCTTTTATATTAACCATATTAACCTCTGGATTTCTAATGATAATTTTACTAGGCAAAAAGAATCAGTAAAAAAAAAAAGAAAAAAGCAATGAAATAGAGACCGGAGCATAAGCATACTGTTTGTATTAAAAGAGAGCTCTTTGGGCCGGCCCGGTGGTGCACTGCTACACTGCGCCGCTTGGGAAGTGCGGCAGCGCTCCCGCCAAGGGTTCGGATCCCACATACAGATCGGTTCCCGCTCACTGGCTGAGCGAGGTGTGGGTGCAGCACTGGGGGTTGCGATCCCGTTGCCGGTCCCCGGTCCGGTACGGGCGCGACACTGAGGGTTGCGATCCGTTGCCGGACACGAAAAAAAAAAAAAGAGAGCTCTTTGACTTTAAGGCCAAATTTTAAGCAATAGATAAAAGAAAGTATGGCACTTGACAACATGGTCTACAACGAAGACATTTTCTAAATCTTAGAGATTGTATTTTATGGGGAGCTAAAGCAACACACATATAGCAATGATCAACTTGTCCTTGTTCTACCTAAACTGAGAAATTTGTCACGTATTGCCATAGCAGAACTTTTATTTCATCAGAGTTGTAAAATTATTCCTTCTACCTAGGTTCGGATGAAATCTCTAAAACTGCCTCATAATTGATCTTTAGTGTCATGGTTGTTGATTGTTTTTACTGTGTGCCTATCTCTGAAAAGTCAAATCCACCTCACTGTAAATTCATCTGGCTCAATCAACTGCAAATATTCTTCGAAATTATTTGCCTTTTCAAAAAGCAAAAGGTCAGAGACAAGGGAACCTCTCGATTTTGTCACTGAAAACCATTCACATAAACCATTCACATAAATTATTAGGTGCTCTAATAAGCAGGAAATGGCTTGCTTAAAAATTTAATTTGACTTAGCAGTAGCAAAGTCAACTGTTGTCCTTTCTGAGCCCGATATTGTATGACATAGTTCAACTAACAGAATCCTGATCCATCGAAATTTTCATATTCTTACCCTTTTTATCTTTTAAAGTGAGCACAGTTTTCTAACATTCTGTCCCTTTGCCTTTCACTGGAGGACACATAAATCCACCCTGGAAGGCAGGATTCCACATTCGCCCCTACACTTCTGCAGATTCTCTACTGCCTGCTACATGGCAGTTGCAGCATGGTGTCTGCTGACACATAGCTCACACGGGTGCTGTATTTTACTCAGAGAGGTGGGCTCTGCACCAAATGGTGGTGCTCTGTTGGTACTGAACTAACTGGGATTTTGCTTATCCTCTTACCTTCTTCTTCCACAAACACTGTTACACTTTTTACCTCATCCTTCTCTTCCGCGATGCCATGCTTTCAGTTTCTACCATCTGTAAGTACTTGTCTGTTTCCAGCTACCACTCTCCAGTCTTCTAGTTTCTTTTATGGTGATTTAACAAAATTGTCTCCACTTTCACTCAGGGTGAACAGCCAGCTGACACCACAACGTCCCAGTTGAATGCCCTGCTCCCTTCATTCCACATTAATTACCCAGTAGCTCTTACTAGTGCACTGCATTATTTTACTTTTTAGATATAAAATTACTTCTCACTAGTCCATGCCTGTTGAACTTGCTCTTTGTTCTCCTGGGAACTATGAGGCAATGCCTCCCACCTCAGCCCCCTGAATCTTTTGAGCCACAATGCAGCCTCAAATTCATAGTCAGCCACTTCAAAATATAGAACCGAGGTAAAAATCTTTATGCTTTTAACCAAAACCTGCTGCAAAGCTTCTAAAACAAAAACAACAGGTAATACAAACTTCAGAATATAAAACATAATACATTTCAGAGCACAAAAAGGATATAGCACCATTCCCAAATTGATTTTGTATGTGAAGTTGTAAGAAAAGCGTCACTGTGCTGTCTCAAATAACTCACTGAGATTCTCAAAGCAAATATTATAGGAAGCAACTCAGTTTTACAAATATGCTTATATTAGAGAGCAAGGAAAAACTTTTTTTTGAACGTGACCTTGAAAAATCCAAGTCAGGAAAATTCTAAGAAACTTCTGACATGGTTCCAGGTACCCAAAGCAGAAGCGAAATAGGACATGGAGAACCTATGACCAGGGCTTGAAATAAGCCAGTGGCACTGGTACAGAAGCCTGAGTAACGTTCGCCCTCCAGGATAGCAATGACCCTAATCTGCAAGCAGATCACCAGTGGAACCCATCTTGTTAGGCACGGCATTCTAATGTGGTCATTTTGGGGTTAGTCTGTACAGCCCTGGAAAATTATCTGATGTAGTCAACTACCGGACAGCACATTGTGGGGGGTGGGAAAGCCCTAGTCAGGAAGTTGAATACTTCCTTGAGAAGTGACCTAAAAACCACAGATCTTTATGATGTTTAAAAATCAGGATTTCTAATCGTGTAATAGTTGAATTTTGACATACAACTGCTGAGTGAGTTTTTCAAGTTTTAAAATTACTGAATTATGACATTTGAACACTGGCTTTAATGGAAGGGAATTCAATTTATCATACAAAATGTTTAGGGTACTAGGGTGCAGAACTAAAAGTTATTTTTAGGAAGAAGATTTACAGAATTTTCAGATTTGCGACATGTATTATCATATCTCAGTCCATAAAGAATGTGGACCTCTGCTGGAGGACTTTTAGAGCAAGATCAATTAATTTCAACACAGACTTCAGAGTTCTAGTAATCTTAGCTTTAGAGAGATGTGGGGTATATTTGTGTGTACCCATTATACACACTCTCAAATAAACATATTAAAGCATTTCTTTAAAATAGAAGCCTAGATATTTAAATCCCTGACAGTCAGAAGGAAACAAAACAAACATCTGGTGAGTGCCAGCTATATGCCCTGGTAGGCTCTTTCACATGTATCTTCTCAGTAACTGTCTAAAATGCCATAATTTACTGAAACTTTTTTCCCCCTGAAAATCACCTTAGTGGATTAGAATTAATTATCATTTAAAGTTTCATTTTTTCACAATAGTCACAGAGTTTAGGCAGAAACTTTTTAACCTCTATACAGTTATGTATAAGAACGTGTGATTGGAACCCCACCAAAAAGAGGGAAGCTTTTTTCCCTCTGCTAGATAAATCTTGATAATGTAAGTGAGATGGGAATTAGCAGAAATGGTGTTAAGTGTTTCTTCTCCTGCCCATGCCAAAAAGACAAAAATATCTGCTTGTATCTAGTCACTACGAATTTGCAAATTCAGTTCCAGTTAATTCATGCCAGATGCCAATCTCTGTTGAACGAATCAAAACTGTAGATGGACCCAGGAGAGTAACAGAAATACTCTACTGGCCAAGCAAAATGGTCAGGAGTGTACTGAGCTCTTCTACAGTAAGACAGTTTAGGGTGGTTACTGTTATTGGTGTCTTCTCTGCTTTAAATTGATCAATAATACATGGTTGTTATATACTAAGAGACCACAGCCAAAGATTTATTGGGAGAAGGCATTATCTGGCATCTGTTATTGTGTTTAAATAATGGGAGGGCAAAACTCTACTTTCTAGCTGACAGAGAAAACCATGCTCTGCTGGCTGCACAAACCACTTAGCAAACCTGTGCCCACACCAGCTGGAAAATTGTTTCTATCATCCTAGGGGGTATCACAGCCATCTCCGACGCTTTACCAGGCAAAAGAGGGGCAATAAACTTCTCAGTTTCAATTGTGACACAACTGAAGTGGACTGAAGCTGTTCTGTAGTCACTGTTAGACGATACTGTTTAGAAATTAATCAAAAGCAAAGACCTTACTCTAACCTGGTGACGGCACTTTTCCCCAATGGAAACACATTTCAAGGAGGACAGTAAAGAGTGGTCTTTTGACTTCATTAATATCACTCTCCTTCATATGATAAGCCAAATTCATACGAGGTTTAGCAAAGTTAAAGCCTGCTTAACCTGTATTACTGACTGATAGAAACAACCTAGTTTGTTAATTATATTAAGTTTGGGCACTTTTTCATGTTAGATTGAAAGTGCTATGCCAGAAGTTGTCCAAAACCCAGGGATGATTCTGTTTCATTGGCTTTGAAAGTTTTGAAAATGTATTTTACGGTCAAGGAGGTTAGCACGATTATTATTTCAATTATAAGCCTGTCAGAAAGTTTCCTATAAACAATTTGGCTTCTTGCAGTGTCACATTTTAGAGCATTTCTTACATTGGGTGACCTTCTCTCATTCATCCCTAAGGCTTTAGATGACTTTTCTGAGGGGTCTTCAAAAAATTCATGGGAGGATTCATACTACCTTTTAATTCAATTTTTCCACAAACTTTTTGAAATATCCTCATATACACCTGACATTAATTTAGACCCTGTGTTAAGATAGCAGATTCTAAGTATTTTTTAAAAAGCAATAGGCCAGTGGTTCTCAATGAGAATCTGCATATTGGAATGACCTGGTGGGGAAGGGGGAGTAGGGTGGAGCTTTTGAAAATACAAATGCTGGGTCAAATTAATTAATTCAGAAACTCTGGAGGATGCACTTAGGCCAGAATGCATTTCAAGAAAAATAATCGTGGACATTTTCTTTTATTGGCATGTGAAAGCTCACATAACGTAATTTGTCTTGGAATTCTCCATATAGGTTCCTTATACATCAGTGCCACAAATCTCTCTCGTAACACATTTAGAGGCTTTTGAAAATACAAATGCTGGGTCAAATTAATTAATTCAGAAACTCTGGAGGATGCACTTGGGCCAGAATGCATTTCAAGAAAAATAATCGTGGACATTTTCTTTTATTGGCATGTGAAAGCTCACATAACGTAATTTGTCTTAGAATTCTCCATATAGGTTCCTTATACATCAGTGCCACAAATCTCTCTCGTAACACATTTAGATAGTAAATAAAAAATCAAATTTCTTACCTGTATGATAAAATGTGAGAAAAAATAAAAGTACTCCCATGAACATATTACTTAAAAAAGTGACAACTCCACAAGTAATTCCTTCTGGAACAGGGTAGACGGTTTCCACAAAAAGCTCAAAAAATATTGGTACGCTGCTATTCAAGAACACACCCAGGAGAATACAGGAGGTGTACAATGTCACTAAAATAAAAACAAACAGTTTAGTTTCACAGTAGCAGCAGTGAGTTATATCAGACCTTCTGGGTGTTCTCTTTCATAAGTATTAACTCTGGAATTTCATCTCTTTTCAGTGGTAGCTGATAAAGTTTGACAAAGCATCACATATCTGTCAGCTTTTCCCTCAGGTTTTCTGCAGTAGGTACAAAAAGGTTTTTATTCCTGGATGATTACCAGTTTGTTTGGTTTACCTTTCTGGCTTTACCTTTCCAAAGCACAGAAACAATTTACCACTGTAATATAATTAAAAGTATTCTTCCCCCACTCAGTCACACACCTGGCAAACAGAGGGATAGATAAAATATAGCAGCTTAATTAGAAATCCAGACTCATTCTATAATTATAAAGAGAACTTAAAATCTAACAATAATGTGAAAAACATTAATGTTAGTAAAAATTACATATTTAGAGACTGGTGAATAATAGCTCTCAAGTACAAAATAAACATTATTCAGTAAGTAATTCCTGGAGAAACACTTACAATAGAATTATTCTTCAATTTTGGAATGAGTTTTGTGTCAACAGTTTTTAATAAGTAACTTTTTTAGAACACAGGAAAAATTCCACCCAGAAAGGAATAATTAATATTGGTTAGGATCCCAGATTAGCCCATAAGAAAACCTAATAAAATTATTCTGTAGTAAAATCCATGGAATAAGGATGTTATTCATATAAGAATGTTTAGAGAAATGCACCCCACTGCAAATAATTTTATCATTGCAACTGTCTGCCTACAAACCTTCATTAATCTTAATCTGAAAGCAAAAACAGAACCAATGAGGAAAATATGATACCCTAGTTAGAAACCTAAAATGTGTCCCTATATCCTAATATCATATCCATTGATAATAGTAAGCAGAATTTATTTTATTTTTTATTTTTTTAATTTTTATTTTGTCAATATACAATGTATATGATTATTATGGCCCTTCACCGACACCTCCCGCCCTCCTCCCTCTCTCCCCTCCCCCCCAAGAATGTCCTTTCCGTTTGCTTGTTGTAACAACTTCAAAAAAAAGTATAGTAGTTATATCTTCTTCCCCACCCCCACCCCCCGGTTTTTTTTGTGTGTGTGTGTGTGTGTTTGTGGGTAAATTAATTTGTTTATTTTTTTTTTAGCTCCCACCAATAAGTGAGAACATGTGGTATTTCTCTTTCTGTGCCTGACTCGTTTCACTCAATATTATTCTCTCAAGGTCCATCCATGTTGTTGCAAATGGCAGTATTTCATTCGTTTTTATAGCTGAGTAGTATTCCATTGTGTAGATATACCACATTTTCCGTATCCACTCATCCGATGATGGACATTTGGGCTGATTCCAGCTCTTGGCTATTGTGAAGAGTGCTGCAATGAACATTGGGAAACAAGTATACCTTCGACTTGATGATTTCCATTCCTTTGGATATATTCCCAGCAGTGAAATAGCTGGGTCATATGGTAGATCAATCTGCAACTGTTTGAGGAACCTCCAAACCATTTTCCATAGGGGTTGCACCATTATGCATTCCCACCAACAATGTAAGAGAGTTCCTTTTTCTCCGCAACCACACCAGCATTTATCTTTCAGCATCTTTTGGATTTTGGCCATCCTAACTGGGGTGAGATGGTATCTCAGTGTGGTTTTGATTTGCATTTCCCGGATGCTGAGTGATGTTGAGCATTTTTTCATATGACTGTTGGCCATTTGCATATCTTCTTTAGAGAAATGCCTACTTAGCTCTTTTGCCCATTTTTTAATTGGGTTGCTTGTTTTTTTCTTGTAAAGTTGTTTGAGTTCTTTATATATTCTGGATATTAGTCCTTTGTCAGACATGTATTTTGCAAATATTTTCTCCCACTCTGTTGGCTGTCTTTTAGCTCTGTTAATTGTTTCTTTTGCTGTGCAGAAACTTTTCAGTTTGATATAGTCCCATTTGTTTATTTTTCCTTTGGTTGCCCATGCTTTTGGGGTCATATTCATGAAGTCTGTGCCCAGCCCTATTTGCTGAAGGGTTTCTCCTATATTTTCTTTAATAAGTTTTATTGTTTCAGGGTGTATATTTAAATCCTTAATCCATTTTGAGTTGATTTTAGTAAATGGTGAGAGATGTGGGTCTAGTTTCAATCTCCTGCAAATGGATAACCAGTTATCCCAGCACCCTTTGCTGAAGAGGGAGTCCCGACCCCAGTGAATAGACTTAATGCCTTTGTCGAAGATCAAATGGCAGTAAGTGCGTGGGTTGATTTCAGGGTGCTCTATTCTATTCCATTGATCAGAGTCTCTGTTATTATACCAATACCATGCTGTTTTGGTTATTATAGCTTTGTAGTATAGTTTAAAGTCAGGTAGAGTAATACCTCCAGCTTTATTTTTTTTGCTCAGCGTTGCTTTGGCTATTCGTGGTCTTTTGTTATTCCAGATAAATGACTGTATAGTTCTTTCCATGTCAGAGAAAAATGTCATAGGAATTTTAATGGGGATTGCATTAAATTTGTAGATAACTTTGGGTAGTATAGTCATTTTCACTATATTGATTCTTCCAATCCAGGAGCATGGGATGTCTTTCCATCTTCTTGTATCCTCTCTAATTTCTCTCAGGAGTGGTTTATACTTCTCATTATAGAGATTTTTCACATCCTTAGTTAGTTCAATTCCTAAGTATTTTATTTTTTTGGTGGCTATTGTGAATGGGCAGGCTTTCTTGATTTCTCTTTCTGCTTGTTCACTATTGGTGAAAAGAAATGCTACTGATTTTTGTGTGTTGATTTTGTATCCTGCTACTGTGCTGAACTCTTTTATCACCTCTAAGAGTTTTTTAATAGATGATTTGGGCTGTTCAATATATAGGATCATGTCATCTGCAAACAGGGACAGTTTGACTTCCTCCTTTCCAATCTGAATGCCCTTTATTTCCTTCTCTTCTCTGATTGCTCTGGCTAATACTTCCAAAACTATGTTGAATAGGAGTGGTGAGAGTGGGCATCCTTGTCTGGTTCCTGTTCTTAAAGGAAAAGCTTTCAGTTTTTCCCCATTCAGGATGATATTGGCCGTGGGTTTATTGTATATGGCTTTAATTATGTTGAGATATTTTCCGTCTATACCTAATTTATAAAGGGTCTTTGTCATGAATGAGTGTTGGATTTTATCAAATGCTTTTTCGGCGTCAATAGAGATGATCATATGGTCCTTGTGTTTGGTTTTATTAATATGGTGGATCACATTTATTGATTTGCATATGTTGAACCAACCTTGCTTCCCTGGGATGAATCCCACTTGATCGTGATGAATGATCTTGCATATGTGTTGTTGTATTCTGTTTGCTAATATTTTATTGAGGATTTTTGCATCTATATTCATCAAGGATATCAGCCTGTAGTTTTCTTTCTTGGTTATATCTTTACCTGGTTTTGGTATCAGGATGATGTTTGCTTCATAGAATGAGTCTGGAAGCTTTGCTTCTGTTTCAATCTTTTGGAATAGTTTGTATAGAATCGGTGTCAATTCTTCTTTGAATGTTTGGTAAAATTCTGCTGTGAATCCATCTGGTCCTGGGCTTTTCTTTGTTGGGAGCTTTCTGATAACAGCTTCAATCTCCTTTATAGTTATTGGTCTGTTCAG